TGTGTTTCAGACCTTTGTGCATGATAGATCAGTCAGCACAAGTGAATTCATCACAGTACATTGTTTGAAAAAGAACTTCAAGAATGTGAAATGTAGGGCTCCAGTGGCCGTCTCTGATGTGAGGACAGATCTCACAAAGACATCTTTCTCTCTTCTAATTTGGAAAATAGTGGAGAATAAGCAGAGATTGTAAAAATAACTTTTGGTGGGCTACCAATATCAGAATGCCATAGCCAGTATGGCCATGTATCTGTCAGTGTGACCTCAAAATATTTTTTCAAGTTCTAAGACATTGTGAATGAAAAATGTGTTCCTCCGCCTCATTTGAACCTCTGTTTGAGGAGATTTTTATTCCTGTGTTCTGTAAAATGAGAATGAATGTTACATTTTTGTTTTGTTACAGTACCAGATGAAAATGATCTAATTAAAATACTTCTTTCTGTACTGCATTTCCTTGAAATTCAAAGACGTTTCCCACAACAACAAAAAATAACATCCACAAAAATAAACACAAAGATGAATACAAGTTATGGTTGAACTTAGGCACCCTGTGCCTCCCTGGAAAGGAAAAGGAGGTCAGTTTCTTTTGGGTGGCCTTGGAGGCCCTGCTGGCATGCCTGCCAGGCAGAGCTATCAAGTCGATGAATAACAGCCATATCCTTCTTCAAAAATGTCCATCTTGTGGGGTCATATGTGGACTGGGGAATTGTAGCTGAAGTAATTTTTGCCACCTCAGGCCCAAACGATGATGTCTTCCATTTTTAGCTCCATTGTGTTTTGCTGTCTTTTTATATTTGCTAAAAATGCATTCAGGAGGAAATGATTTTTATTTTTATTTATTTATTTATTTATTGTATTTATACCCCGCCTATCTAGTCATTTCGACCACTCTAGGTGGCTTACAACATAAAGGATAACAAGTTCAAGAAAAATTTATAACAATTAATTAATTAAATTATTCTGCAAGATGGGAAAAATACAAAATAAATCAAATAAAGAGGAAAAGAATAAAAAAGGAAAGAGGACAGGAATTAACTGTCAGGGAAGGCCTGCCTATACATCCAAGTTTTTAGTTGGTTTTATGTATATATGTATGCATGCCATTTTTATGCTGCCTTTCTCACATATGGTGACACAAGGTGGCTCGCAATCATTAAAGTAAAGCTAAAAGCACAATAAGTTATTCAATTAAAAAACAATTAAGCGTAAAATAGAAAGCATTCTTTGAAATACTATGCCTAAAACCGATGCCCAGTGTAATTCAAAAGCCTGTTTAAAAAAACACACCCATGCTTGCTGCTGGAAGGATAAGCAACTGTTCATTGCCTTTTGATTAGCAGTGAGAGAACGTGAGTGGCTCCCATTGCCTCCTCCATCATGACACCAGAGGTTGCAGAAGCAAAACTGCTTTATTCAACACAAGTGGTAAGAACAGCAAGGGCCAATGGGGCCAATCTACACTAGACATCAACATGACACACACCTTCAATTTAGACTCTCAGGGCCTGTCCACACACTGGCATATAAATATGGCATGTAGTGCAGCTTGCTGAGGGCAAAGCTTGGATGATGAAAAAAGCCTGTGTCCACTTGTGTTTCTGTTTAGATAGAACCATCCTTCCCCTTTAAGACCTGTGCCACACCTTTCTGGACCTGCAGTAGGGCATGCATTCTTCTTGGCATGCAGACAATCAGAGGAAGTGCCCCTTTGCTCCCCTGCCAGCTCCAGCTGCCCCAGCCAGTGGCACCGTCACCTAGTGGCTCTTGTCAAATTCCATTTCCATTTTCTTCCCTATCCGAACAGCACCTCTTTGCTCAACCCTCTTGTTTCTCCCTGTCCTAGACCCCTTTTCTCCTGCTCTTCCTTTCTTCCTTTTCTTTTCTCTTTCCCTCCTTATTTGCTGTTTCTACTTTAACAGCTGATCAAACTACAAGGGGTTATTCACTATGGGTAGAAGCCCTTTCCCTCAGCCCACACAAGCACTCCTCAGAGGTGGGCTGGGCATGTCATGCCACAGCAGGGGTGTTAAATCAACACCAACACCTGCCCCTTCAAGTGGCTGACTTGGACCCTCAGCATGGCCTAGAAAAGAGAGCCAAGACAGCTTGAGGTTAGCCCATACCTAAGCACTACTGCAGCTTTGGCTTGCTCAAGGCTAACTTGGACTTGACCCAAAGGCACCAGAAGAGTAGCAGGGAGAAGGCAGGAGGGCTTCACAGCTTCACTGAGACTGGCTGACAGATTGTTCTCAATGGGTCCCATGGAAGTGAGGCTTGTTATCCCTTTTTCTCCAGCTTCTCCTAGCTTGGTGTTTGTGGTCAGTACAGTGAGCATCCTGTTGCTTCTTCTTGTTGTGCCACACTCAGCAGCCTCTTCAGAAGGCACAAATAACTTGATGCACTGGCCAGTTCAAGGATCAAGCCTTTGCACCATCTCCCAATCTGTTTTGCTGATGTTCTCCGGCCCTTCCACCACCTCTACCTGACAAGCTTCCTAGTCAACAGTGTCTGCCCACTCCTCTGACCCTGGACTGCTCCTTATACAGTATAGTCTTTCTGGGGTTGCCATACCTTTCCTTCCCTCCCTGGCACCTCCTACCATGCTGGCCATGTCATCACCTACTCCCCAGCTTATAGGGGAGCTGCAGGTGGAAAATGCCATCGCTGTGGTTCTTGAAGAAGGCCCACCTGCAGCCAGGCCATCCTAAGGAGTGGGGTCCCAGCTGATCCCACACAGAACGTCTCAGCCTACAAGCACTCTGTTAGACCCTCTCATGGTGGCATGGGGAGTCAGTTCTAGCCTCAGTGTCTAATCACTGGACCACATCAGCTATAAGCAAATATGTCAACAAATTATTCCTATTGCTTCCAAGGGTGAACATTGTTTTTCACCAAACCGGGCTGCTTGGTGCCCATCACCCACTCCAAGCATTTTACTTCCTGGAATATATCCCATACATGACAAATGCCAAGAGCAAAGGAGAAGGAAGGCTTTGAAGATCCATCAGCTGCTGAAATCCTTCACATGGATATTCCAGTAGTAAATGTACTTGTCAATCATTTCAGCTGCTCACGAATTCTCAGCCTTGAAAATTATTAGGTAGCATTAAATGCAGTAGAGGTGCTATGACCTAAATTAGGAACCTCACAATATCAGATAAGCTTTAGAAATAAAGCTTTACCAAAACTTTAGCTGTGACACTTGCCATACAAACTCTGAGAAGTTTTATGTTTGCCGTTCATAATTTTCCAAACTCATAACTGAAGTGTGTCTTTCCATTTCTGTTGTATTAGAGGAAGGCTGTGCTTTCAATCCCGTGTGGTGGGGAAGGCTGTATGACATCATTTGTTATCTGTTTAGAGGCATTTGTTGCCACCCATAAATGATAAGTTTAAGCCAAAACTTATTAAAGGGGATAGAGCAGGGGTCAGGGAACTTTTTTACATTTTAATCCCCCCCCCAAATTTTATATATGCTGACATTACCCCCTTGATTTGAAAGGAAGGAAATGATACATTATTTGAATTCAAAATTTTATTGAATCTACACAGGCTGTGTACCGAACTAGCAGGATGCACCAAATTTAATAAAGATGTGCACTATTTTTGCCTGAACACATTGCACACCAGCCATGGGGTGGTATAAGGAGTAGTAAGGTGTCCAATGTGTCTAACAAGTTGCATTAAATTTTTGCTAACTCACAGAGGATTTAATAATCATCAATGGCTGCCAGAGTGGTGCTAGCAATGATGTGTTTGCTAGAGACTTCTGAGTTGGGGATGGGTTCCTACTACTTTCATCATTCTGTGTGTGGTGTGCAAAAAGAAACAAACCAGACTAAAGGTCATGTCACTCACCGTGGTGCCACAGCCCAACATCAAATAGAGCGCTTTTTAAAAAATCATCATCAATGGAAAACTCAGCAGTGGCCACAGGATTGGAAAAGATCAGTCTACATCCCAATCCCAAAGAAGGGCTGTGCAAAAGAATGCTCCAACTACCGTACAATTGCACTCATTTCACACGCTAGCAATGTTATGCTCAAAATCCTCCAAGGGAGGCTTCAGCAGTATGTGGACCGAGAACTCCCAGAAGTACAAGCTGGATTCCGAAGGGGCAGAGGAAACAGAGACCAAATTGCTAACATGCACTGGATTATAGAGAAAGCCAGAGAGTTCCAGAAAAATATCTACTTCTGCTTCATTGACTATGCAAAAGCCTTTGACTATGTGGACCACAGCAAACTATGGCAAGTCCTTAAAGAAATGGGAGCGCCTGACCACCTTATCTATCTCCTGAGAAATCTATATGTCAGACAGGAAGCAACAGTTCTGATATGCAACAACTAATTGATTCAAACTTGGGAAAGGAATACAACAAGGCTGTATATTGTCCCCTGCTTATTTAACTTATATGCAGAATGCATCATAAAAGAGAGCACAAAAAATGGTCTGAAGCTCAACAGAAAAAAAAAAACTAAGATCATGGCCACTGGTCCCATCACCTCCTGGCAAATCAAAGAGGAAGATATGGAGGCAGTGACAGATTTTACTTTCTTGGGCTCCATGATCACTGCAGACGGTGACAGTACCCACGAAATTAAAAGATGCCTGCTTCTTTGGGTGGATTTGGTGGCACAGGTAGGTGATCTTTGGGAACAGCTCTTGACCAAGTATTGGGATCCCAAACTGGGTGGGACATAGTATCTGTGGATTTTATGTTCTTTAATTACCAAACAACGGTATATTCACAAGATGGGTGGAATAGGCACCAAAGCTCTGTAAGACTATCCCTAAATCACAAAGCAAACAAAACAAAACAAAAAAGTAATTTCACAGCTTAAATGAGTGTGCTTGTGAATATTTATATCCATTCAGAATAATATTTTCATTTTAAAAATAGAGAAAATACTTAAATATTTTTACCCAAGAAATAGGAACTATGAGGGTTCGCTTCCAGGCTCATGACTTGCCCCGAATAAATCACCAGACTTATGTGGTTTTGAAATCAGGGGTAACATTTATTGCATTATTTAACAGAAATCCGGTATCGGCAAAAGCAACCTTTCTCCGTGTCAAACAACGGGTCAGGCAAGGGTTTCCATTCTTCAACTTTGAAAGGGTTTCCCTCTTGAACATTCCAGGGTCCTGGCCATTCCAGAGAAACACCCGTGTTTAATACTGGTCCATTCTCCCCCTCCAGTAAGGGGATTGTGTCCTCGTCTCACTGGTCCATCCAGGCGAGGTCTGGGGAGGGATCCATTGTCTGCCACGGTCCTCCTGCCATTCCATCTGCTGCATCCCTCATATTCTCCATTCTAATCTCTCCCTCCGTTCTCTCTCCACCTTTTCCTTTTCCTCCCTCAGTCTCCTTCTCCATTCTTTTGTTTCCCTTTCCCCCCAGTAAGATGGTTTGGGGGTATTCTTTCACCTTCTCTTAGCATCGGCTTCTTCTTTAGGGACTCTTAGCTTCGCCACCTTGGCAGTCCACGGGTCTTCTACATCCACTCCCAACCTGGTGGAAGTCCTCCTTCACCCCCTTTTATATCCGCCAGCACCAGCTCCACCACTACCTGTGCTTTTCACTCTGTTCCCGCCAAACCAGTTCTGGTCTTCTTGACCGTTAACTCTTTCATATTCTCCTCTATCCTCCCTGGGTCTGGTCCAGGCGGTCTTGTCTTCCTGGGTGGGGGAATTGGCGGGGTTTGACTTTCTTTATCGACCGTAGGCGGGAGGGACAGCACTCCTGTGAGAGGCACTTTGCTCTCACCTCCAGTCTTACATACCCGCCCCATCTGAGAGGGCCATCCAGTCCGCCTCGCTCTTCACCCAGGGATCCTGCCATGAGAAATAATCCATGTTAGCATGTTCCTTCCCTTTCCTGTACTGTATAGTGAAAGCAAAGGGTTGGAGCGTGAGGTACCAACGTGTGAGGCAGGGATTGGTATCCTTCATCTGAGCTAACCACTGGAGAGGAGTATGGTTGGTCACTAGAGTGAAAGGAGCCCCTAGCAGACAGTACCTAAGAGCGTGAGTCGCCCACTGGATGGCTAGGGCTTCCTTTTCAATGACAGCATATTTCCTCTCTCTGGGGGTTAACTTGCAACTCAGGTATAAGACTGGATATTCTACTCCATTCCACATTTGGGACAACACTGGCCCTAAACCCAGGTCAGAAGCATCAGTGAATAAGACAAAGGGTAAATGGAAATCTGGAGGAAACCTGGAGGGGAGCTCACACAAAATTGATTTAAGAGTCTGGAAAGCCACTTCCTGAGGCTCTCCACATTGTACCCACCAAGATGCTCTTTTTCGGGTGAGGTCTGTCAAAGGGGCAGCCAGGATGGAAAACTGGGGCATGAATTATTTATTTATTATTTATTTATTTAACTTATATGCCCCCCACTCTACCCAAAGGTCTGTGTGGCTCACAATTAAAAAACAATAAAAATACAATAAAAAATAAAATGATTAAAACACAATTAAAATTGGCAGTAATACCCAACTAACCCCAGGAACTGCTGTACCTACGTCTTAGTCCAGGGGTGATACCACTGAATTATCTTAGTGACTTTTTCTTCTTGAGGATATATTTCTCCATTTCTTACTCTGAACCCCAGGTATTCTACTTTGGGAAGGGCTATTTTACATTTCTTGGGGTTCGCTGTTAATCTGGCTCTCCTTAACTTGGTCAGCACCCTGTGCAAGTGTACCACATGTTCCTCCCAAGACAAACTATGTATGACAATACAGTGGTGCCTCGCTTAACGAGCGCACCGTTTAACGAAGAATCCGTATAGCGATCCCTTTTTGGGGATCGCTATACGGATCTGCCCCAATCGCCGCACTCGCTTTGCGACGATTGGGGCGAGGACAGGACGTTTTGGAGAGCACTCATTTGTTGGGTTGCCATGAGTTGGAGACGATTTCATAGCACATACCTACAACAGAGGATTCCAGAAGATGAGCACATGATCAGTACTCTGGTTACTGGGAGAAGACAGAAGCAAGAAAAGCTTGAATGCGGTTGTAGTCCCACTGTGCCAAAATATTTTGGCGGCCTGTTTTGGACTTAATGAAATGCAAAACAAAGGTATGAGTAGGTACAACACATACAGTCATAGACACACCTTGTAACCTCTTGGATAAATTAATGTTGATATGCCCACTGTGCAGAATGCAGACTAGAAAGCTGTGTTCCACTTGCCTTGAATAAGGCAAGCTGCATGACAGCTTATGGCACAAGAGGAAGAAAAGCTATCTTGGACCAAAAGCTCTACGGACATGTTGTGTTCATAGTTCCCAAAAAAAGGCCCATTTTCCTTGTGAAAAAAAGGAGGGAAAGGCTGGAGTTAGCAAATAGTGTCACTAGTAACCAAGGTCAAAATCATCCATACTATGTGAAAGAAAGACAATGAAAAAGGAGAAGGACAAAATTTTACTCATTCCAAATGTGTTGTTGAAGGAGAGCCATACAGATACGAAAGAAAGTGAGAAAAGTAGAAAATTGGGTGTTCAATCAAGTCAAACCTGAACACTCACTAAAGAGTAACCTAAATGAGTAACCTGAGCCTATCCAATCATGATGCACATATAATGGAAATACAGAACAGATGCCAAAGCTCTGTAAAACCATCCTCAATTTCACATCTTAAATGAGTTAATGTCTGAATATTTATTCATTATTTTAAAAAAATATCTTTTAAAATATTTTTACACCAAAAATAAAAAAACTCTTTTTAAATGGCTGCTTGGTCAAGAAGAAGTTAAAAAGTTCTCCTGAGAGCCATTTTATTTGATTTTGATTGAAAAGGTCAAAAGTTCAGATCTTCCTTCCTCTGCTCTCAAACTTCCAAGAATGTTTCTGTTTAAAATGTTGGTGATGATAAAAAAGTCTGAAGTTTTTTCCCCCCTTTGAAATATATTTTATTAGATTGAGTTTAACCCATCCCCCCAAGCTTGGATTCCCTCCAAATTAAAAAAATGGGGGCTGGGACTAACCATTCTCTTTCAATATAAGCAAGTCTGGCCTTTTTGATGTATTTCATCTGTTTAAAATCTGCAGATAGAAAAGGTTGCCCCCCAGGGGGGTAGTTTTACATTTAAGAAATCATAACTCAAAACTCATTTGCCCAAACACCCCCAAGTTAGAAACAAAGGAAAAGAAGATTGTCTGCTACATCTGTGTTAAATTTGGTGCTGATCCAAGATCCAGTTACAAAGTTATAACTTTTTGTTTGGGAAACCCCAATTTTTGAGTTAGTTTATGGAATGCTGATTTCCTGAGCTTCACAATACCTGTCACTGAATTGTCATGCAGCAATAATGAGGAGTTTAGGAAGGATTTTCTGAAAACTTTGTGGCTTCAGAGGCTACAAGTTTGTGCCCTTGCTTAAACTGTTTATTTCATACAACTATTCATCACAATAAAATTGTAAACCGCCCGGAGAGTGCTTGTAGCGCTATGGGGCGGTATATAAGTCCAATAAATAAATAAATAAAATAAAATAAATATATTTGCGACTATTATTTCATTTTGTCATGCTTGGTTGCTTTATGACTTAGAATGACTTATAGTTGTTTGGTTTTGAGTATTTATTGCAATGTTTCCCAAAGTCTTTTGAGTTGCCCCCCCTTTTTACAATAGCCAAGTAACTTGTGATCCTCTGGCACATTTGCTTCAAAAAGCATTTTAACTGAGTAAATTATTATCAGAGGTCAAGGTTTGTGGAAAAGACAATACTAGGGAAAGAGGAAGACAGAGCTTGAAATGGATTGACCCAATACAGAATCCACAACCTTTGTTTTACAAGACTGCAGCAGAGTTTTTGACTGTAAGAGTGAGGGTTTGTTGAGAGTTGTGTGGAACTCGTTTGAATTCCTCCAAAAAATGCGCAGCAAGAAGTGCCAGCCGGTTGGGCAGAATTAGCTGGAAGTTCCCCTTTTTAGTAACCGCCCCTCACCAAACACTAGCACTTAACAATAATACTCAGGAGGCCTTTTTAGTATTAAATAAAGAAGTCTATACAGTATTGTACTCACATGGGTTAGCATAATTAAACGTTTTCAGCTTCACAGAGGAATAACAGAAACATAGAGGTATTTAGGCTCAGAGAGCCAACTGTGGAAATGTTACATCTTCATGCATGCAAGAGAGTGTGTGTGTGAGAGACGACTGACTGAGGCAGAATGTGGATAGAGAGAGAACTAAGATGGAGGTTCGATCACCTCATGGTGAGAAGGGGCAGTTACAGGGGTAGAGTTTCAAAAAAGCCCGGGAACAGCAAAAACTCCATTCTGATTGGTTAATGTTCAAAACTACAGACAAAACAAGTTAGTCTGTGTGCTGGAGGTCTTTCCCCTTTGAAATTTACATTTAGATTGCTAGACCACCCAACAGGGTTTAGGGTGGGTGGGGAGCAGTAATTCATAGCCCCTCCCCAATGGCCGTAATTTGACAGCACATAACACTGCCACCAAATATCTATTCCCTGATGGGTAGTGGTGGTTCCTTTCCCTTTCGCTTGCTTGGTCTTGCAATTTGCATTCTGCCAGCTCCCCCTCTGCCCCTCAGCTTCTCCTAACCTCTCCTCCACCCCAGCTGGGACAGATTCACCAACTGCATCCCCAGGCACAACTAGGGAGGGAATCTCCAGATCCCGAAAGGGAGAAGAACCCCTGCTTTCCTCCAGAGGAAGAAAAGGGGGGATTTTTTTTACTACATACCCCATTCCACCCTCCCTCTGGCTCCCTTCTTCTCTAGAAACCCAATTGGCAAAGTGCCTTTAAGCCTTGCTGAGAAAGCAAAGCAACTAGTCACCTACTCGCATACAGATAGACACCTCTGGTTTGTTTAAGCTTGACAACTCCCCCCAGAAAATACTTTGTGACTCCCTTGGAGGTTGTGACCTCCAGGTTGGAAACCAATGTTTTAATGGATGCTTATGTCTGTAGATTTGAAAGTGGTATATAACAGTAATAGAATACATAATATCCAGAAGGAACACAAAATTAAAATATCTTAACACTGTTCAACCCACACAGAGTGCCTTATACTGCTCTAGAAAGCCTTGCTTAACTCTGTCACCTGCAGCAGGTGCTTAAAACTAAACACAGTTGGAGCATTTTACGCATCAGAGGGAAAAATATGCCACCTAATGATAACAGCTTTGTGCTGAACAACCGTGGAGCTCATCTCCGGGCCTGTGGCATCACCAGGACCTCCAAAGGACCTCAAGCACAAAATGGATCAGCTGTAAGGGAGAAACCAGGCTTGAGGTAACCAGATCACAGGCTGTTTGGGCCATTGGTTTGAACAGCCTTTACATATTGATTGAACTTCAAAGGTGGGGCATAAATTTAGTTTAAACATAGACAGACAGACAGACAGACAGACAGACAGACACACACACACACACACACACACTCAAAAAAGTCCACCCGTTTAGACATTATATATATCCATACCCTCAAAAAAGTCCACCCGGCCCCGGCCATTGACTCTTAAGAAGTCTCTCAAAACCTTACACTATTTCAGCAGGCTTTTCAAAACAGCTCATCAAAAGAGCCAGTGGCTGAGCCTGTCGGCCTGTTATATTTAACTGTCGTTTGTTTTTAAATGTTAGGTTAACTTAGTTACATTTTAATTGTGCTTTTGATTGTGTCTTATTTTATGTCAATGTCACTGTTGTGAACTGCCCAGAGTGATTGTGGGGTCAGATGGGTGGTACAGAAATCGAAGGAATGAATAAAATACAGTAAAATAAACTTTGGAAGGCAGCTGATGGGTGGACTCTCATCTACCATCAGTGGGTCAAAAGCAGCACTGTATCCATGTGAAGACTGTATCTTGTGCTTTGGGTGAGATTCTCTACTTGCTTTGGGTGGTCCTGACCCAAAGACTGGTACAGTATAAGGAACCCCAAAGGCTGGGAGGGCCAAGAGACTCTCCCAGGGAACCAGGCAAGGGGCGGGGCACTTGGACCACAATCAGGGCAGGAGTGGGCGGGGCTACAGCCCAGTCCAAGAATGACCCTCCCACCGCCCCGCTTGTTTGTATATGCAGAGCCCTGGGTGGAACGGGGAGTGGGCGGGGGGAGAAGAAAAGGAACGTTGGCCCCCCTCGCGCGGTGGGTGACGGGACGGCTTATAACCGCCGCGGCGTGCGTCGCGCGCAACCTTTCACCCGACGTCGCTGGACGGCGCCACACGGAAGTGCCATGGCGGCGGCCGCGGGCGGCCGAGACGGTGGCGGTTTCCCGTCAGCGGCTCAGCGCAGGCTGCAGATCCTCTCGGGCCACCTGAGGAGGAGCGCTCCGGGCGCAGACCTGTCCGCCGGTCCGTGCCGAGGGCGGGCAGGCACGCCGCTGACGACGACGCCGCCGCCGGCGGGAACTCGGCCACACACTTTCCCCAAGAGGCGGTGAGTGAGGGACGGAGAGAGGGTGGAAAAAGCCCGGGCGGCCGAAGGGAGGAGGGCCGCCTTCTCTCTTGCCCTTGCCCTCCGGCGCCCCTGAGTTTCGGGGTGAGGTGGGAGAACGAAGCCAGGTGCCGTCGGCCGCCTGTCCGCGCGGGCAGCTTCGTGGGAGGTGGAGGGGAACGAGGGACCGTCTCGCTCCAGCTTCTCCTCGCGGGAGCTTCCCTGCCTTCTTGGCAGCCGCCTCCGTTGAATGTGGGGACTCAATAACCTTGTCTTCGGTCACTCGGCTGTGTTCGTCGTCCCTTCGCCCCGAGGAGACTCTCGAGTGTGAAGATGGGAGAGCTGCCCTTGAAATAAGTGAACCTGCTGGCCACTAAGGGGTGCCTGGTGTTTTCCTAGGGGGACTTCAGGCATTTGTTGAATGGGAGGCGTGGTGGAGAAAAAGTAGAGAAGCTGAGGGAGAAGTGCATTCGGAGGCAGCAGCATCCACGCTTGTTAGGCATAATTTTGATTGGCAGGGGGCTGAGGCTTCCTCCTTGCCTGGAGGGTGCTCTGAAATCAGTGCCACTTTAATAGGGCTTATTCCCAGGTAAGATGGGTAACTTAAGGAAATTTTATATAAAGGTGTAAAATAATACCCACCCCCCAAATTTAGCAGCTCAGCATTGATTTGGAAACTTTGTGACTGGTCAGCTCAGTTCCAAAAAATTATGCTTGCCCCTCAGCTGTCATTTCGCTTTGTCCATTTACAGCTATTGCTGGACACCTAATGGCCCACTTGCTAGTTCATCATGGATATGAAGCTCTTGGTAACAAGCATGCCAAGTAATTTGACTAGGACTGTGGGAGTACTAGGCTTGGTCATCAATGTTTAGTCTGATGACCCACATAGGTTAACTAAGTCTGTCCAGTAAATGAATTTCACTTTGTAGTCTTGGGCTGTAACCTAACATGCATATCTGGAAGTATCTGGATCTGGTATATCGTGTAGGGTTATATTCTTGATTTTATTAGTTCTAGCCTTCTATCCTGATAGCACATGGCATCATGCTGAAAATCACAAATTGTGTGAGTTGTTGTTATTTTTAAACACATCTCCCTCCTAACCTTTTAACTATAAATTTTGGTGTGTTAGAACCAATCACTACTTCAGAAATATTTGCTCGCTCTGTCAAATGTAAACTGGCAGTAATTTGGGATGCTAGTGGAGGTGGAAGTGACTCTGAAAATCTGATATTAACAAAAAATAATATATACAATATATACATCTTTCTTTACAGAGGCATGCACTCATTATGCAACTGTACTTCATAAATTATATTTAAGGAAAGATCTATGACATTTAATCAAAGGCACAAAATGTAGGTCACTTAATTATAATATAAAAAAGCAGTTCAGGTTCAGTTTTGAACTTGAAGACTTTTCAATAATATTTCATAACAATACAAAATAATTACTTTTGAATAATAGCTGGTGGCTGATTGGATCCACCGCCTCTGTGAATGTGATTTTGATATCTACAATTCTTAACATATACCGTTTGGACTAGACTATGGCTGGAAGAGGATACAAGGGCTTCCTGTATTTAAATTTTTGTCAAAAAACTACAGTATATGCATGCAGTTTGATTGGGACTATGACAACACAGTGATTTCATCATTGCATCATTTCTTAATGAAAATTACCTATTGAATGCTTGGGTTTTCTTGTATGTGCAGCAGCTTGAGGTGGGCCTGTGCAGCTTAGGAAAGGAGTGCAGGAGCAAAGGAGCAGGTATACCTGCACTAGCAGTTTGCTAGAATTAAAGAAGTAAAGGAGGTTTATTCACAAATCTTGTTCTTATTCCGTCATGAGAAACTTTACATAGAATGAGTTGCACTGGAGCAGTAAGAGCATATGTGTTTTTGATTTGTCCAGAAGGTGCTTTTCTTTAAGTTACCAGCATTTTAGTTAGGTGAGGATTCAGCTGTCAAGGTATGGTTACAAAACTGAACAAGCAGTAATGTTTCTAACAGAGAGTGTTCTGATAGACAGTAAGAATTTAGTGAGTGTAGCAGAGAAAAGGTAGAAGGGTTGGTGGAAGAGTTGATGGGAATCTGAGAACAGAAAATCAAGATATGTAAATGACAGCAAGTTCCATTACAAAATACTGCTTTGTTAACTTTTCAAGCTGTGCTGTGCATCTTGGCATCATGTTCACTTAGTGTTTTTTGGTGGAGTAGTGTACAAAACTGCAGTTAATAAAACGTGAACAATCTGGTCATATACAAAGTTGGAACAATGTAGCAACAATTTGCTACCAGGAAATGCTAGTTTGGAAACTTTTATCTGGAACAGTGATGGTGAAACTATGGCGCATGTGCCACAGCTGGCATGCGGAGCCCTTTCTGCTGACACATGAGCCATAAGTCGCCGGATTGCTACTCCCCCTCCCCCCTGCAGCCAAACCTGAGCAGGCAGCTGCAACCGCAGTGCTGGTGCCCAGACAGACGGCGGGTCAGGATTCGGAGCTGACGCTGGCGGTGGATCTGGAGTGGGCTCTTGAGGCCACCTCCGTACCCAGGATTCTCCCTTCCACCATCACTTCCGGTTCCGCCGCCACCACTGGTTCTGCTACCCGTCTGCCCCCCGCCCCCCAGTTTGGGCACGTGAGTCCAAAAAGGTGTGCCACCACTGATCTAGGAAGACAGCTCATTGCATGTTATAGGGCAGCATATAATTACATAAACCAACATTGCCTCAAAATTGGCAGGACAATTTCTTTTGAAAAAAAGGGGGGAAATATAAAGTATTTAGTTCATTTGCAATTGGAATCCTCTTTGATGAAGAAAATCAGAAGCTATTACATGAATTGCTTCAGAACCTTGATTAGAGATTGTTGCATGTACGTAGGATGTGTGCGGAGATCACAGTTCTATTTATTTGTCTTATATACCATGTAATAGTACAATGTGCACTCTTTGGGCAATTAGCAGCAATTAGTTTATTTCATAATGAGGGGCCACAGCAGTTTCTAGTGATGACTTTCTTGACCTCTTTTGATGTTACAGTTTTCAGTAGTAAAAAGCAAGGAGTTGGTTGGATGGGTTGCGATGTTCCAGCAGTTTATTTTGCTGCAAATTATATCTAGTGCTACCAGTACACATAGTGTGTAACAAACTTCAGACAGTGTCATATGACTGTAGGGGCTGCTAAGAAGATGGGAGTTGAGGGTAAGAAGGCAGGTGATAGAAGAGAGGGGGGCAGGCAGTTTGCCATTCACTCTGCACAGTTGTTCAGGTGATTGGCAGATTGCATGGTTATAGACAAGATTAGCTTTTGAAATCACGAATTCATAATTTTGAATTTTCTTCCTTTTTTTGACATTCATTGTTTTTAACTTAACTGTTACTCAGTTAATGACTGACAGTGCCAATGCAGGTTTTCAGCTGCGATTTTGCACCAAGTATCTTTTGATAGTCTCCCATCCAGTGACTAAGGTCAACCCTATATAATTTCCAAAATCAGGTAAGATCAAGTGTGTTCAGGTTGGCATGTACCTACTTCCACAAACCACTTCAAGAAGTAGCTTGATTCTCTTAGTGTGTAACACAGCTGATCACTTGATTTCTTATTTCTCTGCTGAAGGGATGTTTTTTCGCGCCCTTGGTAAGCTTACCCAGGGCGCGAGTAGTGTAATAGGGCTTATTTTCGGGGGAGGGCTTACTTTAGAGGAATCCTACAAATTAAGGGGAGGGCTTACTTTCGGGATAGGTCTTATTATCGGAGAAACACGGTAGAAGTTTTTTTGTGTCCTCAGAAAGCCAGATGCCTAAGGACTTGTTTGCAAAGATGGAAGTCACTGACAATTCTTGGCTGTTCTTTGTTCTCAAGGTTTACTTACATATTTGAATAATATTATGACATTTTGTTCTTGTGATTATATGTCCTCATGTTGAGTTATTTAAATCATCCTAGGAATTATCACCCTATGAGCCTCCTAGATGTAGTCAGCAAACTGTATGCAAAAGATCTTTTGTACAAACCAGAAAACTGGGTGCCCTCGGAGAACCTCTTTGCAGAAGAACAAGCAGGATTCCACTGTGGCAGGTCCACAATTTTCCACTGCTTTTTAGTGCAACATCTAATGGGGAAAAATACATCTCCTTCCCACCATTCATTTTTTGTAGCTTTTGTAAACTTTAAAGCAACATTTGACTCCATATCTCAACCTCAATTTTGGAGCTAATTGGAATCCTTGAATATAGGTTGCTTAGGAGAATCCAAGGACTGTACAAGAACACCATCCTATGAGTAAGAGTAATATCTGATGGCAGTCTTTCAGACCCAGTCCCTGTACATAAGGGAATGCACAAGCGATGTTTATTAGCCCCATTTCTATTTAATCTATGCCTGAGCAATATAGTATCCTCTCTATCCTACCCCAAGTCTTTCCCACTCCATCTAAAGGACAGGAATATAATAGTACTTTTGGATGCAGATGAAGCTATTCTCCTATCCTGTACCCAGTTGGGGATATGAAGACTATTATGAAACCAAAACCCAAATTTTAGTTTTTTGGGGAAAAGAGAAAGATGGCATCTGAACAGGAAACTGCTTGAACAGTCCAACTCGTATAACTACCTTGGAGTGACATTTAAAAGCTCAGGATCCATGGTCAGGTCTCTTAGAATCTGGAGCTATGTCAGCTGAGGCATCCACCAATACTGTTTGTTTCTCTTCTAGATCACGCAGAAAAATGGTGGCACCACTAATATATAAAGACAAACTGCTCCCCCAGATTCTTTGTGGGATTTTTCAAATGTTATTACATTGGAATCTATTCAGCATACATTTTTAACCAGAACACTAGGAATACCAAGATTACTTCTGTGGGTACTCTTTGTAAAAAAAATAGCTGTGCTGTTCTGGCTGGCTTAAGATAGTGCTCTCTATGGCCTCACCGCTGGATCTTTTTGGCCTGTGAAGAAGTGGGAAGGGACTCCTGGTCAGAGGACATCAAC